TTATATAAAAGTAATAAAGATTGACTATATTACTTTTTCAATTAATTAAATTTTTAACTTAATTTGATTATTACTCAAGTTTCTATCTTTAAAAAAAAAAGATTATGAAATTAATGAATTAATATTTGAATTGTCTTAAAATTTGGAAATAATATTCATTTTTTATCTATTTTATATCTAAACATTTTTGAAAATTATGCTTAAAAAATTTTTTATAAAAATGTATGAAACCAAAAACGCTTTGCGTAATTCTCATTAAATTATTCTACATTTTAATTTTGGATTTCTTGCGAATATTATATTTCAAGAGAGTTATTAAATAAGATCAGTGTACTAATTATTTTTCAAATTAAACTTGTTTCAAGCTTTCTTAGAGCTTTTTTTACAATACATATATAATCATTTTATGTAGCGTTACATATCTGTGGCAATTTTGATTGTTTTAAAAGAAACACTACAATAAGAAAAAAGATATATTTACAATTTAACCGACGCTATTCTGTTATTAATTAAATTTTTATTATTTGACTTATGATTTATTATTGATATTGTTAATTTTTTCGAGATTTAAATCATAAGATATATAATTATGTGAAATTATAGCAAAATATTAATTTTCCATAGCTAATCTAAGTAAAAAAACTTGGTGCAATTTTTATTTGTTTGCTTCGTTATGTAATAGTAAATACGATGAATTGTTTATAAGTTTTATTATAGATTGTATGTGCGTTTTCTTCACCATTTATGTGCATTATATAATTATAATATATACATATATATAAAGCGTGGGCAAATATTAAAAAAAATATGAGATTTTTTTCTCAATAAAAAGTAAAATTATTTTTTTAAAGATTCTCTAATATTGTTTTTTTTTTTTAAACAAATATTCATAATGAGGTAAATATGAGAAATAATTATATTTTTTAAGAGAATAATTTAAAAAATTAATATTTTGTTAACAAAATATTAATAAAGAAAACATTAATTTAACATATATCTGTTTTTATGGAAAAAATTTTACTTTTATTAGGAAAATAAATCTCTTTTACATACACAAATTTATTTTTTTACATATACACATATATAAGAAATAGTGTGTCGCTTTGATGAGACTCATTCGATGTATATGCACTTATCTTACATCGCCGATTTCTTTCTTTTTATTATTCTTGATATATATGAAATGTTGATTGAAAATAAAGATTAGAGAAAAAGCGAAACTTAAGATTATATAAAAATTAAATTTGTGATTAATCAGAACTAATGTCTTGATATATTCGCAATAATAATTATTAATTTCGCCGAGGCACAGATTCTTGTATTACTGATGCATAAAAATAATCTTAACTTTTGTTATTAAATAATTATATTAATTATTAAGATCTGAAATGTTTAATATTTTACATATTGTGAAATAAAATTAATTTAACAAATTTTTTAGATAAGTATTATATTTAAAACTAATTAATAAACTAAAAGGCAGAGAATATTTAGTCTTCATTACTAAATTTATTAAATATTTATAATATTGGTTAATCAAGTTTATTAAATAAATCTTATAAATCTTATAATTTGAGATTAATAACAAGCTATTACTTTTGCTAAAGATTAAATTCCAGCGAAAATGACCCTTATACTAATTAATTTTTTTTAAGAGTCATTTTCGTATACCAAAAACACAAGAGATTGAACTTTATCGAGTATATCAGATTTTCCATATATAAAGATAAAAAAATAAAAAAAAAAACGAAGTAACAAGCGCAAAGCGCGATGCTGTTTGTGCGAAATGTGCTTCTGAATTATTATAATATTGCATGTTAAACATGTCGCCAGCTACTACTGTATGTACAGTTGAGATACATACGTGTCGATGATGGTAATTCTACTGGATATATTAACTTGTTCTTTGTTTGAACATTATAATAATATGATATAGTTATATATCACATATCGGAATATATGATGATATATAGTCACTCAATTCACACTTACCACACTTATTACAATGCAGACACAGTTATCCCACATCATGAATTTGTTGTTCTATATCTTTTTGTTAATAGTAATAATTATATAATTACGTGCGATATAATTATATGATAAATTGTATTGCATAGTCATATAATTTTACAATAATAATTACAATAGTGGTGTAGTACAGAATATTGTAACACAAAAATTTACAAAAGCGGTTATCAAATATATGATTTTCCGTGAGAAAATAATCTCGATTTTTATCTATTACGATAAAATCTTCCTTGAAAATGGTTAATGGGTAATTAACATCAAAGCAAAATATTTTATGTTCAGTTATATGAATAAATATGCAAATCTAAAAAGTGTATTTATTATTAAAAATATCGTTTATATGAATTTGTTTCTTAAGTCTATTATTAGACGTGCAAATTGAGATTATTTTCTTATGAAACGAAATTCTATTCCTTTGTAACATTATACTTGACTAAAGCGTAAAAATAATTTTGTCATTACAATATAATAAAATTTTATTCTAATTATGAATTTGTTTAATCACGTATAGTATATAGATTGTGTAAAAAAAGCATTTTTTATGATAATAGCGAAAATTATTTATTATATGTCAATTGCAATGTAATAACGAAATTTACAGCAAAAGAAGTGATTGTTTTATAGTAAAATTTTTATATTTAAATACATAATATGAGGGAAAATATATGTATTTATAGCTAGTAATAATTTGAAATTATTCCAGAATTATTCTATTTTAATAAACAGTTGTATATCTCTTAAACTTATACAAAAAACATTTCGGATAAAAGTTTAGGAGTTTTAAAGAGAGATGTGTGATAGTCCTATTTGAAAATCTATTTTTTTAACGAAATTTTAGATATGATTTTATATATGATTTTATATATAATTTTTCCTATTATAGATAAAAAAATATACAATATACAAATTGCATATTTTTTTAAAGAGCAATTATGCAAAATTTTGATGTATATTCATTTGTCTTCATAATATAT